GGAACGCCCGGTCGATTCGGCAGCATCCCATTCGATGTACCTGTTTTTTTCGTTTCCCATTATGCTCTGTCGTTCAGCGTTCCCACTCTGTTTTTCCCTCCATTTCATGATACCCATGTACCCCCTCGATTCCAGGCCGAGATAAACTTCTATTTCTCAGGACGTGCTGAACGTTGAAATATTCGCTACTTAAATTCGGTCACGTCTTTGGATTCACTGGCAGGGACGCCACAATGACCTTTCTACTTACTGCACTCCTTTTTGGGAAACCGCTTCTCGAGACGTTTGACGCCCTGTACCGGTACAAGCCGGATGTATTGCACTTGTTTCGCAGCTCACGCTCTCAGACGCGCCGTCAGCGTATCAACACATGTGGTACACGGAAGAAGAACACGTGTCGAGAATAGACTATGGAGGGGACTCCTCGCCAGAGTACCCAATCTGGTGGGGGTGGGGTCGCTGGCGCCTCCCCCCCTTGCACGGTGGATTCTTCCCTTTTTGCGCTGGCCTTCGCGGCAACCTCCTTGCTCACGTCGGCCTTGCTCGGTTGCGCGAGTTTCCGCCACCGCGCAAGCTTCTCCATGTCAAGGCCAGGGCCCAGCTTTTCTTTGACGAGCTTCTTCAACTCGTCCTGGTCCTCCGAAGTCGGATAAGGAAAGTCGCGAATCGGAAGGCCTCCAACGGGTTCGAGATGTCCACCGTGCAAACATTGCGTTCCATGATATATATCTCCTACTCTCTTTAGCGTACGCCATTGACAGAACAACATCCGACTCACTGGCAGGTCCTCCGATTCTTTGGGTTTCGATTTCCATGCCATGAGGATCGCTCCGCGATCGCCCGAGGTTACTAGCCCGTAGAAGGGGCGGTCTACGATGCCCAGAGCGGCGTAAAAGGACACCACAGATATCAGATGGAATCGCCCCTCGTCCAACGCCTTGCTCTCTGAATCGGAGCATTTTTTTGTATTCGGCGATCGGCAGAAGGAGATCGCCTTTGAACGAGGTCAGTTCTAGAGGGGGAAGGCCGTTGTGTGGAACAGGCGGTGGTTCGGGGGTGGCGGCGGCGAAGGGATTTTCCAGCCGCTTATCGTTAATTCTGGGTATGAGTAGAGGGACGTCTTGCTCGGAGCCAGGGGTGCGTTCTTGACCTTTTCCGGATGGGATCCTGGCGCCTTTCACAGAGTCGCCGCGGGTCACGGAGCCTTGGTCGGGCGCAGCGTCATTGTCTGTCGTGGAACCGGGCGATGAAATATCCCCGTCCGGATTATTCCGATGTCGGCGAGTACGATTTTTCCGGAAATCGACATAAAGAGAATCGCATCGCACTTGCCATCCGGGGTTCCGAATCGGATCGCACTGTCACCAGCTTCTTCAACGCGTCAGGATCCTTGAGGTACGACTGCCTGAAAATGCCTTGCATAGCGTTTGCCTGGTTGACCGCAGATTGCGCCAAGTTATAGGCAGAGTCGTCCAGCCGGCCTGCCGACTGCAGGGCCGCTTGGCAAAGCGCGCTCGCATTACTGTAACGAAGCCATAGGGCATCGACAATCTTCTGCTTCGAATCGGGGTCCTCAGCGAGAACGAGGTTGTCGGCGAGGTCGTTCCGCGGGTAATGTATGCTCTGCTCCAGCCTAGACGGAGGGGTTTCAGCGAATCGACAGCTGCGACCGCAAAATCTTACATGACGTAGGGCGATATGATTTCTGTGTCATGAGAATAGAAGTGGTGCAAAAGTGCGTCCCAGTCGTGACGACTCTCAGCCTCGTAAACGGGAACATTGTGGTGTTTTGCCCGCATGGTGTAAGCACCAGTCGCCGCGGATAACAGACCCGATAGACGCCCAAACAGCGTACACTGCTCTGAAGGGGAAAGAATGGAAGGGGGATTTGCGGCTTTTAGTCCTGCGATGAGCTCGGCCCTCTCCGCCGATAGAACTGCATCGACGGCAGGAAGCGTCACCTGTCGTTTGTGAGCACTAACGCGTCTGAACCGGATACCACGGACCTCATCCGCCGGTCGGCGTAAGGCACACATGGTGTCGTACAACTTAATCTTTTCGTTTATGTCTTTTTGCTCCGGTGACAGACCGGCACCCAGAAACGGGATGCGTGCGATTGTCTGCACGGACCGGTCAAACATCCATGTGAGAAGCTGACCATCGGGCTCGGCCAAATCCAATGGTCTGCCCTGCATAGCTGGAACAAAGATGAGGCCCAGGGGAAATGATTGTCGGAGAACGACTCACGAGGAACTGGATTTGCGCTTTCTAGAGCTTCGTGAGGCGCCGCAAGGTCAGGAGAGATAGCAGGGCGCACATTCCTGACTGTGCTTCAGACACAGCTGCGGATTGTTCGGTTGTTGCGGAATATCAAGAATCTTGGGGTTCCTTAGGTTTCCTGTCTGCCATTTCAGCGGAGGAAGAGACGGGAGGGGCGGACAAGGGAGAAGACGGCCTGGTAAAATAGTCCGTCAGAGGTCACATTGGAACAAAAGCGAAGCCACATTTCGACATGTCTTAACCACTGCACAACGCGGTGGCGCCAATCTCCGGATTCGCGAGAGGGAAAAATGGTATCCGACCGCCAATCAAGGCCATTGTTCTCAAAGCCGCATTTTAAGCGCTCCGTTGCGCGCTCCAGGATGGACGCGAAATGGGGCGATAGATTCAAGATGGACTACGCCAGTGAGATAGCCGAAGCAGTATCCGTCAGATCGAAAACTCCGTTCGACGCGATATAAACGGTGGACTGGAAAGTAAGGTAAGATGGCAGTGAATGTTTCCAAATAGAACCAGACCGTGGCGGGATCAACCCAGGAAAGAACATGTGTCATCGCGGCGCCTGAAAGAAGAAAGCCAACGGCGGGATCTGGAATCCCCCATACACGTCGCTGACAGGCGACGCTGGCCATGAGGTCGACAGTGTTTTCCTGGTCGGCAACGCACAAGAATGGAAGCGCAGCGTAAGCGTGTATCCCGCGACCGGGCAGAATATGAGCGCCGAGAGGACCATTGAAGAAAAGAGAAGGATTGCTTTCAGCGTCAGAAGAAGCGCCAGGATAAGCGATTGCCGTCGAACCCTCTGAAGATGGGAGTGGATCATCCCCTTCCAGAACATGGCATGCCAGCATTGTCGCAGCGCCATCGAAGTCATCAGAGGCCGGTGTTTGGTGCGCGGACGTACGAATGGCGCTTCAGGGCTGATAAGGATGGGGGATCAACAACGCACGACATAAGAAATGATATTCAAGTACATTATCATGGCTTCCTGTGAGCAGATGCGAGCTAGTATGCGTAAAAAGGGAGCACAAACGGGACAGCGGAGCGTGACGGCCCATAGTGCGCCACCAGCGACTGTATATCCATGACGGCAGAGAAGACCAAATTGAAAACGTCGCACGGTTCCTTGGTGGGCGACAGAAAGTGGGGTTCAGTGGCACACCAGGGGGGGAGATGGAGATCCAGAGCGGGTAGATACTGGGTATAGCAGATGGCCACCGCGAGAAATCCTCGGTACAACCAGCGGAGATAATGTGGACAGTGGACCTGGTGGGAGTGGTCATGGTGAGAAGAGGCGGTGGATTAGTCTAATGATGTATTACATAATAATAGTTGATTGACAGGATCCATCGATCAGTATCTCCACGTGCGTCTCTGCGTCGTACAATGTCTCTGTGCGCAGGCGTCCCTTCACTCAAGGTCAACCCCAAAGCATGTCTCTTTCGTGCTACAGACACATACAGACACGTCACTCCACCCCTACGTCAAACCTTTCCACCGTGCACGCTGAAATAATAAGCTAAGCTTGAATCGAGGACGTCCGGCCTTTTTCAGCAGCGTCTCCGAGTCCTGACATCGAGTCCCCATATCCCACCTTCCTCCGCGTCGGCGTCTGCCCTAATCTCGAGAGGCGTCAACTCCCCCGCCATCGTATGTGAGACGTCCGCCGCGGAGCCGTCCATACACCCCACCGCCGCATCGCCGCACGCCACTCGGGCACGCGGGCGCGCTGTACCCTGCAAAGCGAGGAGGGTCGCTAGGCCGCGGGCGTTTTCGTTGGCTTGAGCAGCATCGGTGTGTTGATTCTGTGTTTTCTTGGTTATTCCATGCTCACTCGCACCGGACCCATGGACGGCCGTGTCGTCCGCGCCCCGATTCCCCAGCGCGGTTATTTGGCTCGTAAACTTCTCAAAATCCGCTCTCGCGTCAACTTGGCGAGCGTGCGGCTCGTCCTATGCTCGAGCTTTTGTCCGCGCATCACCGCCTCCTCTGTGGTCGCGTGTAGCTGTAGAGGTGTGATACGCAGCATGCTGTAGCCAACCGGGGGTATCCATATATCAATGTATTTAGTACTCTGTAGCACACTGTAGACCAGTATAGGTCGCATTTTCCAGGCCGCGATGCAGAATTGTTGACGAGAGGCGTTGCCTTTCCTGGACGTTGGCGTTCAGCGCTATATTCGGACGCTTATTATTTCATTTCATTTGATCATTTCACTTACGATCAGGTCCGCAGCGTATAAATGGCGCGGCCCTCAGTCTTACCACAACCTGTGTGCGACTGAGGGTACGTCTTTCCTTACCTACTTACCTCTTATTTATACTTAAGCTTACCTGTAGACATTTACTCATTATCGTATTCTCTAGAAGAATAAAAGAATTGAATAAATTGGATATATATTTTAGTGTACTACAAAACTACTCAGTCAACGTGCTATCGTCTACATTCATCGCCATCAACTCGACCAAATGTCAACTGCAGCTCGCCAAGTACGTACTCGGATAGGTAGAAAAGGCCTGGTAGCGAAGGACGCGCACTCACGCTCATTAAGAACCCTCCTATTTCGTAGTGGGAACCCCGCTTGATTTCGGACTAGGCCAGCGTCGATGTGTAAGTATATTTTTCTACGGGTGTTTGACGGGTGTTGAGTCATGATCAGCTGTTGCCTTTCACTCCCGGCACTGTATCTCTTTATCGGTCAACTTCTTTCAGAACTTTCAGAAGCTATAGCTCAGTGGTAGAGCGTACGATTGCAACTTTGAGCCTAATATCGTAATGTCCCGTGTTCGAACCACGGTAGTTTCTACTTTTTCGACTTTTTTCCCTGCGTTTTTCTCTTAGGCGACCAGACGCCGTTGGCAAGTGAATGGTGATTTACGCCGCATTTATCACGTACTACCAAAGCAAGAGGATCGCCCGTCACATATTTTGAGCTGCGCCGATTCTGTGCTTGCAGTTGATGGTTCGAGCATCTGATTGGCCACGTATCCTTACAACACGCGAGATACGAGCGAAAATTGTTGTAGCATCTGTTTATAAGAGACTAAGATATCCTAGTCTCTCGTATAGAGACGCTTCAACAATATGAGCTCGTAAGTACTTCGCTTGCACGTATCTATAGAACAGCAGGAACGTGTTCGATAGTTGCGGAGGAAATGAACACACGAAATGTTCAAGATTACACCGTTGACTCTGACCATTGTGCGAATAAGAGGACTGAATTTCATGTCAGATTCTAAGCCTGAAGGTGACGTCGCATCAGTGTACATCCGAGTTGATGCGGAGGCCAAAGACCTATCGGAGATCCAAACTCCGTTGATGTTGGGACTTGACCTTTGCACAGAAACAAGAAAAGACGCTGAGCTCCGACCGCTAGATATAAATTCTCTTCCTATACCAAAGTATAAACAAAATATAATCACATCCCGCCATACGCATCTTCATTGTTCTCCTCAAAATGATGCTGGGGCGGCGGAGCTGCATGTTGCCCCCTGGCCTGCCGGTGCGATTCCGGCGGGTATCCCTGGGCCTGATGCATGGTCGGCGAATCGAACTCGTAGTACTTCTGGTGCGGACTAAAGTAGTCGGCGCTGTACTGCGGGGCATCGGTATAAGCGGGAGCGCCGTTGGCGAAGCCGCTGAAGCGCGGGGTGTTCGGGGTATAAACCGACGGGGGCGGGTGCATGAAGGGGTATTGCTGGTACGCGGCCATGGACGCGTGTGTGTATTCCACCGGCATGGAGCGGACGCTCCCGCCGCCGCCGAATCCCGCCGCGCGGGGCGGGTGTGGGGCCTCCAGCATAACCCCGGAGCGGCGGAACCCTTGAGAGTCGAAGTTGATCGACTCCCGCCCCTTGAGGCGGCTGCGTCGGTGCCAGCGGCGCTGGATATGATTATGAATTACTTAGCACAGCAAATTTCGAGCAGGGCTCACCAAGAAGAACGCGATGAGGAGAGCGGTGATTGCAACACCAGCCAGACTGCCGACGATCCCGGCGGCGAGGGCCGTGACGCTGGTGGTCGAAGCCGGAGATGGCGCGATCGATGTGGAGGCATGGGCGGAGGTGGATGCAGCGGCGGTCTTCACGGTTACCGTCTTGGGTTGGGCGGTGCTGCTCGCGCTCGTGGTCGTGCTCAAGGAAGTCTGAGATCCGATCTGAGCTTTCGCGCCGCTGAAGATCTAAATCCGTCTTGTACTCACCAAAGAGATGGCCGTGGTACTTGTGGCGCTGGTGGTAGACTGAATTAAGTCTCAGCTCAGTCTATAATAAATCAAGGTGTGTCTGCATACGCACAAGGGATGATCTCGAACTTGAGGTGGTCGAAAGAATAATAGGGGACGTGGGTGGAACGACAACTGCGGTAGTCGACACAGCAACTTTCGTGGTCGCTGGGGGCTTCACCGTCGTAGGCACAACACGAGTAACGGTCTTCGCAGTTGTCGGGACCGCAACCGGGCTGGTCGTCTTGGGAATCGGAGCGACCACCTCTAATCCGAAGAGTCAGCGGTTGAATCATCGTGGAGTGCTGAGGGCGTACTGCTCGCAGGCGGGGCAGCGACCGCCCGAGGGCGATAGTATATCGAAGGCATAGTGAATCAAACGAGTGTGGGGGCGAGTGTGGGCCGTGGAGAGGAGGAAAGAAAGGGATAAGCGATGTTGATCGAAATATACACGACTCGAGGGGTCGAAACATTAGGGGTGTTCTGACACGCGTGAAGCGGTGAAGCCATCAGTGATACGTAGAGAAACTTACAGGTGCCATGATTATCATCAACCGTTGTCCTCTATCATTCCTTCGTGACTAACATCAGAAGGGATAAGTGCTTCCCGCAAACAATCGGAAGTTCAACCACATACTATTCGATCGGTTCAACGCAGGAAGTCCTTAGTGGGTCAGTCGACGCCGTAATATTCCCACTTGATTGAAACGGAAGTAGCAGGTTAAGTTTATGGCGGGAGCAATTATGTTACGAACCTGACTCCGAAGATGATTTTGACGAATAGGGAGTGTCACCAGCACACAAACGATGTGGGTGCCATGCAGCTCAAAAACACAGTAACTTGACAGAGATGCGACGAAGTATAGCTAGTCCGCAGGCACAAATTCACTATGACAAAGTTAGGCCAATTTTTCAATTTTGTCCCTCGCCACTGTTAGACGTTAGAAATATTCTTTTTTAAGTACCTCACCACGGTCGTTCTTCATATAACTCGCCCTTTGAGGTCCACTAGCACGAATACCAAGAGAAATGCAATCGTGAATCTGAACATGATCAACGAATACGAACACGCGATTATGGACGGATGCTCACCATAAGCCACCGTCGTCAACTTAAATCCGAGCTGCGCCTCAAATTGACGAGGCGAAAAATATGTATATGCGCTCTCTTCCGAGGTGCACATTCGACACGGTAAGAGATTCCAGGCAGTTCTCTGAAATTTCGGGGCGACACCGGGACTCGCCATACTGATGAAAGATTCGTCGAGGCGAGCAAGGGTGAGCACCGGTATGGTCAGGCGTTTAAGCGCAGGCAACAGCGGAGAGAGGGTCGAATGCGCAAGGCAGCGGAACACCGGCGTCGAAAGCCCGAACTTCGATTTATTGCCTACAACCTCACTGCAAGGCGTTCCACTGTCGATATAGCCGAGTGCAGCCGCCAGAAATCTAGGAGTTCGAGAGGCGGTTGAAACTTCCGGTGAGAATGACAATGGAAATAAGAGGCGCCGCTGAACGGTGGAGGATATCGGATGTTGTGAAGCGGCATCACGTGACAACAGCGTCCGCCGAAAGCCCGTGGGAAAATACTCAATCTAGCCGGACAACAACCCGTCTAGGATTTTCTAGGAGTCCTTTAAATTCGAGCCATCGTTGAGAATTTAAATTCTCGCCCGCCGCAAGCCTACCTGTGTCTGCCGCTGGATGACGGATTATATGCATATGGTCTCCACTTGGACACAACGTGAGAAATCCTTGCTTCTTTTTGAGTTTTCACAATCAAGCACCGATTCCTATCCTTGACTTCATTTTATAATGCCATCCACGACAGAGACTTCTGATACCTCTCCCGTCGCGCCGACCCCAGGTCCTCAACTGAAAATCACGCCTTGGAGACTTCTCAACACCGCTTTTCTTGTGATTCTGGCGACGTCCAAAGCAGTGACGACATTGCTGAGCCAAACTACGAGCGCGCCGAAGAATTTTGACTGGAAAATCTGTGTGGTCTGGCCAATAATGTGAGCACAACTTTTAGGTCGGAGGCACATTACTGAGCGGCACAAATGGTAGATCATACTGGGTCTCCCTGGTTGAGCAAGAGGCCCCTGCAATTTCCCTGCTGTTCTTTACGGCAGAATTGTCCAGAGTAGTGCGCGTGCTGTTTTCTGGATTGTTTGGCGTGTCGGTGGTGGTGATATATTGGTCGGGTACGCAAATATACTTGTGTAGCTCCATCGGGGTTGTTGATCCATCAGTGCAGCAATTTACGGTATAACGGCGTTCACATTCTCCTCGATCTATCCACCAGTGCTCCATGACGGCTCGGTGGGGATCGCAGGACTCATAGGACTGGTTCTCATTGCGCTCGCGACATTAAACGCGGCCTGGGTCGTTCCTCGGTTGAGAAAATCCTTCAATAATCTCCGCTTCCCTCGAGTACACGATGGTTCAGTCCGCTCGAACTGGGTCTTCAATACGTTGGAGCTTCTCGTATTTCACGTGGCACTACGGTTGAGCCCCAGCGGAATGGCGACCATCCTCACGAGTGAGCTTCCTCCTAGGCTCTCGACTTGTTGATTAACACGGCACTCCTCAGTTCGCGCCTTGTACGATATTCAAACTGACTTGGAGATTATCAATACGCTGGTCCTCGGAGCCGCGTTGGCGTGTATGATGCTGATTTATTCGTTCGATGTTGAAACCAACTCGGACATTGCTAATACACTGGTCCTCTCCGCCAGGCTGGCGTGTACACTGATCTATTCGATCGTGCTGACATTCAGTGTCGGCGTTGAATTTTGGGCGATATACAAATTGATGATGGTACTCGGTACGCTTCTGCGCACGATCGGCTTGCCCCATTTTCTCGCCACTCGTATGTCGGGTGATGAGAATTCCAGCGCTCGGGCGCCGGCGTAGCCGATGGCCAATATACCTAGATCTAATTAATGTCGTTTTTGAAGTATTCAGTACACACGCGTGTTGCTCAACCGGAAGTATATCTGAAAGAGGACATCGTTCTCGGAAGTGGGGCACTTTGTCCAATCCAAGCATTTCACCCCGTGTAAATCTTAGGCAGCGTTGAGGACAGGCCCGTCGTAAGTTGTAAATTGCTGTTAGATGGATTTACAGCCTGGGTTTCTCACGTTCTGTCAAACGGAACAGATCAGAACGGGGCAGCCGGATGACTTCATTCTTTCTCGATGCTACCACTAACGACAGAAGATTCTGGCCCCTCCACAGTCGTGGTTGAAGATCCCGAACAAGATCCCGACCCCGCTCCAGTCGTGCCCCCGGACCTACGTCCTCGTGTGAAAATCACGCCCTGGAGAATCCTTAACACTGCCGTTCTGTTAATTCTGGGAACCACCAAAGCTGTGATGGATCTTAGTGATTTATTTATTTATATGCAGTTTTTATTACCTATGCCTGTTAGTTAGACTCCATGCACTCTTGATGCATATGCCACACACGATTCCGGCTGTGCGACCATGAACCGGCACCATATTATTATTATTCTCACGGTTGAACACTGCCTCGTGACTCACTCCCGCATTTCCAGTGCATTGCAGTGTCATTGGAGTCAG